TTGTGAATATATATATCTTTGTGAGTATATATATATATATATATATATATATATATTACACTCACGGGAGTATACCTGTGCAGCATATAAATTCCTGGAAATGAGATGAGAGGTGGAAAGGGTCAGTGCAATTTACTTGTTGAAAGTCATTGCCAAATCACCTCCCATTGATTGACCTGATTTATACCAGTGATTACGAGAGTGTCTGCTTTCTCACAGATGTTCATATTGTGTTGCCCGTTTTTCTGGTTGTTGGCAAATTCAGTGAAAATGATGTGGGCATATCTCTAACTATGAAGAAAGCTGAACATCCTCTTATATGTAGAAATCCCTTCTGTATTTTTCTTTTTTTCTTTTTAGCAGTCTGTTTCTGTGAGCTGCCTATTCATGTCCTTTGCCATTTAAATTTTGGCAAACAAGAGTTTGTTTATCTCACTGAAAAAAGTTTATCTCACTGAAAAAAAAGTACTATGTTTTGTATATTTTGTAATATAGTAGAATGCATGACCTTTATCTGTCATTTAATCTTTTCTCACTTAAAATTTTTTTCTCACTTTTAAAAATCTGATTTTTGACTTTATGTATGAATTTTTTTTTTGCAATTCATATAATCTGTTTTTACATTGCCAAATTTGTTATTTTTGGATTTTGGATTTGGGACTTGTGCCTTGCTTAACGAAATATTCCCTACTTTGAAATTATGAAACAATATTTCCACACTGTAGCATCTTACGGTTTCATTTTTGAATGGCTGCGGATTTCATCAAATACATTTGTAGTTTCATGATAGGGGCTCATGAGCCTTCTTCCCTCCTTGGATCTATTAAAACAATGATCTTGATGGCTAGACTTCCTAGCATTGAACCATCCTTGCCCTCCTGGTTCTAGTTATTCTGCTATTGGTGTTGGTGCTGTGTGTGTGTTTAATTTGCCTGATTCTTTTAGTAAATTCTCCATGTGGGGTTTTTGCACTGTTATTCACAAGTGAACTCAGTCTCTACTTTTTTTTTTGCCTCCTGACTCCTAAGTGTAATGTATTAAAGCAGGTTTCCATGACAGCGTAGGAGTCTGGATTTACATTTGGTTTCCTGCTTCAGTGAAATGGAAAACAGCTAGATTGAGGATGATTGCACTGGAGGGACCTGCTAAGAGAAGGCCCCCAGCAGGTTGATGGTGAGGTCTCCCCAAGCCCTCTGTGATGGGCAACAAAAGTGTTTATTGCCTACATTCATGAACTATGAACCAAGCTTGCTTTCTCTTTAGATCATGCGTTCCGAGTACAATGTGTTTAAATGTCAAACCAAAGCCAGTCTAACAAAAACAAAGTGAAATAAAAAGCCCCAAATAGTTTTCTTTTTTTTTAAAGTAGGTTCCAGACCCAATGTGAGGCTTGAATTCTCAACCCTGAGATCAAGAGTCACAGGCTCTACCAACTAAACCAGCTAGGCGTCCCACCCCAAATAGTTTTTCAAAATTTAAAACTTTTGATTTTGATATGACGCTAGACTCCATGCAAAGCTGTTTGAATAGTACAGCAAATCTCTATGTCCACACTCTTCACCAGATTTACAAATTTTGTCACACTTTATCACTTCTGCTTTGTTCTCTCTTTTCTGTCTGTTTTTTTTTTTTGAAATGATTTGAAAGTTGGTTGCAGACAGTCTGCCCTTTTATCCCTACATACTTCATTCAGTATGTATTTCCTTTTTTTTTTAAGATTTTTAATTTATTTATTAGAGAGAAAGAGAGAGCTCGAGCACAAGAAGGGGGAGCAGGGGAGGGAGAAGCAGGCTCCCCGCTGAGCAGGAAGCCCAATATGGGGCTTGATCCCAGGACGCTGGGATCATGAGCCAAATGAAGGCAGACACTTAACTGAGCCACCCAGGTACCCCTCAGTATGTATTTCCTAAAACCAAAGACATTCTCTCACATCGCCTCCATACAACGATCAAATTAATATTGATTCAATACTATTATATAATTGATGGACCTTTTTTAGTCTTCCCCAATTGTCCTGGTAATGTCTTAAATGACAACAGAAAATCCAGAAGCAATTTTGATCACTTAATTAAGGTGATTAAGTCTGCCAGCTTTCTCCTCTATGAAGTTACTATTTTTCCTTTCCTTTATCATTGACAAGTATCTTGCAGAGAGATACTTGGAGACCATGGAAATACTCCTTTACTTCTCAAAACTCCAACCATTAGTTTTGGCATTCCCAGATGGTTATTGCCCTAATCAATTATTTGGAGATTGCCAAAGGGTGGTTTTTCTGCTTCTGTCCCAATGATTTTTAAAAGGCAGAGGTTGACTTTCAATTTTTAGAAGCTTGTTTTTTTGGGGGGGGTGGTGCTGGGGGTTTTTTATGAAAGAAACAGTGAGCAGTTTCAGGAAGTGGTGGGTCTTCATTTCCAAGTCACAACTGAAATGATTCTTTCGACTTATATCCAACACACAAGTCCTGTGTCCTGAAGGATTTCCAGAGGACAGCGTGTTTCCTTCCACGTGTTTTTCAGCACATACTTCCTACTTGGAACTGTGGTGGCTTTTGGGGCTCCCGTGGATCCGAGGGAAGCCCACAGCTCTGGACAGGTTTGCACAAGGAAGAAGGGGGACATTTATCGAACCTACAATTCTTGATATCCTGGGACTGCAGCTACCTTCTCTTTGTTCTCCCTGGGTCCATGCTTGCCCCATGGCACACGGTGAGAGATTATTGGAAAGAAAATCAGATTATGTCAGCCCTTTTGTGTAAACCCTCTAGTGGCTCCCCATTGCTTTTAGGATAAAGATGGTTTGGGAGGGGGCTTAACATGGTATATCCAAGGCTCTTCCCCTTCTAGCCCTGACTTTGAGTCCACCTTCCCTTCTCCACTCTCTGTGCCTAGGTCCGTTGGGAGAACACCTGCCTGACTTCCTCTGGGCCCCTGCTCATGCTGGTCTCCCACCTAGAACACTTCCATGCTTTCCTTTGCTGACTCCTCCTCACCTTCAGATTTCAGCCCAAACGGTCTTCCTTTCCTATTCCCCCTACCCCCACGCCACTTTATGCCCCCAGGATTATTTAATTAATGGCCTTCTGCCCCGCCAGACTGTGAGGTCTACAAGGAAATGGAGTGTGTTTATTTTGCTCATTGTAAATCCTCATTACTTATTGCATATTGATTCTTCCATTCAACAAATATTTGTTAAGCAACAGATAGATCAGGCACCGGGTGTAAAATAGTGAAGAAGATTGACACACTTTCTGCTTCCCGGAGAAGGGTGAAGACACACAGGAAACCCAAAGAATTTCAGGAGGTACTGGAATGATGTAAATAACAGGTAAGGGAACAAAGGGATTGGGGGTGTGGATTTGCAAAATGTGGTCGGGGAAGGCTCACCGGAGCACTCAGGTGGAGCCAGCCACTGGACGGACAGGCCCAGGGAACAGCCAGAGGCCGGAGTAGGTCTGGTGGGTTAGAGAAACCGTGGGCTCAGCTCCTGGCAAACTAATATTTGTTTAATGGACCAGAGGAAGAATGAGCGCCCTCGGCCTAGAATTGTACTAGGTGCTTTCTCATGCTTTATTGCTCTTGCACCTCCTCAGATCTGACCTGCAGGTATTGTTACCTCCATTACAGAGCTGAGGCCAACCCAGAGACACACACACACAGAGAGAAAGTCCCACGTCCAAGGCCACACAGGAAGTGAGGGGAGGGGAAGCCAGATTCCACTCGGTCGTGGCTTTCTAGACTTAAGGCTCCTTCCCCCCCCCCCCCCCCCGGCCAAGGTGCGTTGGCCGCTATCGTGCCCTATTCGTGAATGCCATTTGCTAGACACTCAGACACACACGGACTCTGGGTCTGTGTATTGGAAATCGGGTGTGTCTACCTGTGCGGTAACCGGGCTCTCTGGGGCCTGGTTTGCTCTTCTGCGAGGTTCTGCACATTCTCCCAGGTGTCTTTTCTCCAACTTGAGCCACAGGCCGCGCCTAAGGCACCCTCCCTCCGGTAGCCCTGCCACGGAGCACACTGAGCGCACTGGGCGCGCGTGCACGTGGCTGTCCCCGGGGCCCTGGCGCTGGGCGGGGGCGCCCGCGCGTCTACTACGAGACGCGCTGGCAGTACTGGGACGAGGGTGACGCGAGCGCAACATTTAAGGGAGTACCAAAAAACCCAGTGACCAAGAGAAATAGTATTTTAATGAAATATTTTTAAGAAAATCAAAATGAGCCTGCCAGAGTCCAAGGGAACGAAATAGCAAAAACGTTAAGGAAGGGATCCGTCTCGATAGGTCGGGCATCTGGGGCGCCCCCAAACTCTGAGACGCGAGTCGCGGGGTGTCGGGGGCGCCCCCTCGGCCAGGGCGCGCCGGGGGCCTCCAGCACCGGGCCCCGGGTAGGGAGGCTGGCGGGCGGGGCGGGGCGGCGCCTCCCTCTCGCGGTCCTCCCTCCACCCCTCCCGGGGCCTCTCCTGGGCGCCGAGTCCCTTCCGAGTCTCGATCCGCGCCGCCTTTTCCCGCGACCCGCACGGGGCCCAGCTGACGGGCCGCGTTGTTTACGGGCCGAGCAGCCCTCGCTCCCGCCGCCCGCCCGCCCGCCCGCCACTCGCCTGCCCAGGTGCCCGCCCGGCCGTCCGCGCGTCTGGCTGTCCGCGCGTCCGTCTATCTCAGCGTTCGCAGATCGTGGCCCAGAGGGCTCCGGGCCGAGAGCCGGGCGGCCGGGGCTCAGCGAGGGGCTCCGGGCCGGAAGATCGCGGGACGGGGCCCGGGCCGCAGTGGTCCGGGGTCGGGGCCGCCTCCGCCGCCGGGCCGCGGGATTTGTAGCGGCCGAGGCCCCGCGCCCCTTCCTGGGGCTGTCTCAAGGGCCCTCCCGGGCGGGGGCTGCGGCCCGCGGGCCGCCGGCGTGGAAGAGAAGGACGCGCGTCCCCCAGCGCCGCTCGGGCGGCCGCCTCAGAGCATGACCCCCGCGGGCCGGCGCCGCGCGCTCTGATCCGCCGGGACCCCGCGCTCCAGCAGCCATGGGCGCCGGGGCTGGGCGGGGGGCGGCGTCCGCGCCGCTGCTGCTGGCGGTGGCCGCGCTGCTGCTGGGTGCCACGGGCCACCTGTACCCCGGAGAAGGTGAGTCTGGGGGTCCGGGAGTGGGCGGGGAGCAGCGCGGTGGCGGGGGGGAGGACCCCTTGCCAAGATGGAGCCCACCGCCGTGGACCTAGAGCCCTCATCGGTGCGTGTGGGGATGCGGGTGGCCAGGACGGTAGCCTCGGCCCCGCGCGGGGCGGGAAGCCGCTGACCTTGGCCTTTGCCCGCCTGGGCTCGCGGTTCCGCGCCCCGTGTGCGGGCCCCGGGCCGGAGGAGCCTTGCCCCAGTGCCCGCCCCGCCGCGGGTGCGTCTCCCAAGCGCGCCTCGGACCCGTGCCTAGCCCTCTCCGAGCCCAGCTCGCTCCGGGGACGCGACACGCGTCCTCTCCAGATCCCCTGTGAAGTGGGGTCCCTGGGTCCAGGCGGCCTTGGACAGTTAAATGCCGGGGGCGCACGGGTTTTGGAGCGAGGGTCGAGGGTGACTGGACTGAGGGTCCCTTGGGGCCCCTGCTGATAGGTGCTCCCGGGGGAGAATGGTAGAATCCTGCCCCCCTCCCTGAATCTAGGCCCGTGGCTACGCGGACTTCATAACCATGTTTACACTTTTGGGTTCTGTTTCCAGATGTCCGGAGGCAAACTCTAGCGCCTTGGCAACAGGGCTTTTGTTGTAGCAGAAGCAGTGGTGTCTTTATCATGATTATTATAGTGTCACCAAATGCCACGGGCTTATCTCTTTGCACCTTCACCGTGGCGGCCCCCCCCCCCCCGTTGATACTGTTTGCCCATTTCATAGAGGAGTAAACTGAGGCTCTGGTAGGAGACAATTCGACTTGCTCTAAAGTCAGTGCCAGAGGGAGTAAGAACTTGAACCTTTCTGTGTGGTGCCCTTGGGGGGCTCTGGACTGTTGCTGCTGGATGTCCCATGTCCCCCCATAACCCCCGCAGCCCCCCTCCAGCTCTGCCCTTCATGAAGGGCTCTTTACCTGTCAGCTCAGGGAGGTCTTCAACCTCAGGTGAGCCTCTCATACCCCCTAGCCCCATGGACTTCCCTCCTGGGCCTCCCTGTGCTGGCAGCAGATGGAGGCAAACTGCAGCTCCAGCATCCTCCTTGGGCTTGGTAGCAGGCCTTTCTGGTTGTGGGGCAAGAAATGAAGAACATGGCTGGAGTTTCCCACTGGTGTCTGAGGCCCTGCTTTTAAAAATATCCGTTGGGTTACTTTTTCAGAATTCTCCATAAAAGGAAATCAGTCATGGTGAGGAAGGGGTCGGGGAGGGAAGGAGCTGCAGCTCCTGAGCTCCCTGACGGTGAATAAGGTCCATGAGAAAGCCCACACGGGCTCTAAAGTTGACACCCCACGTTTGCTGAGCTCCTCTGTGTTACACAGTGGGTCCAAGGCCCAAGTGCTTGGTGTACAGTGGGCACAATAAAGGTGGCAGTTGGCTTGGGTTCTCATTAGGAGTGTATGTATGTACGTGTGCACGTGTGTGTGTGTGTGTGTGTGTGTGTGTGTGTGTGTGTGGTTCCCTGCTCTTCTGTTCCTTGTAGCTTTGGTAATTAATTGTGGATTTGTGCCTGGGCTTCCAGGGGCCAGTAGATGGGTTTACCACTTCTTTACGTATTTACAGTTCCCACAAGAGCAGAGGCTTATGCTTCTTTAGTTCACAGCTACGTTTCCAGAGCCTAGAACAGCGCCTGGCGCATAGAAGATGTTTGGTTAAGATACTTGTTCTTGAGTCAGTTCATATTCTTCGGGTTCTCACCAATACTCCAAGCCGTGACTCTTTTATTCTTCAGATAATGCCTAACTAACACGTACTAATAAGAGCAAACTCTTGGCGGGTGCTGTTCCATATGCTTTGAATATATAATTCTCAGTTAATCCTCACTACGGCCCTATGACGTAGGGTTTATTTTCCCTTTTCACAGGTGAGGCGATTTGACTAAGCTGCAGAGCCCTGGTTTCTTAATAGAAGGTTGCTCTCTTGGGCTTGAGCTTCCCTACCCCTGGCCCGTGGTAATGGTTAACAAAATCCTATCAACTAAATGAGATGTGATGCCCCTCGGAGGTTTGGAAACTTCGAGAAACTTTACAGATCATTAATCTCTAATGTCAACCGGTAGGGCATTTTGGCTGGGGGTTGGGAGGGGGTGGTGGTGTGATTTTTTTTCCGAAATGCAGGACTTCCTTGGAGATGCTCACTCTCCCGTGGAGTCCCTGCTGCTCCGCTCAACTGGGCAGTGGCTCCCCCCCTCCATTTCTCCTCCGACTGGCTGGCTGGGGCCTGAGATTACTCGGGGGCATTGCAAAGTCAAAGAATGAAGGCAATGTGGGATTAATTAAAATAAAAACCCACAGGGCTTTGGGGGAGTCCAGCAGTCGGCCAATTGAGGCGTGAGAGGCTTGCTTCCAGAGCCCCCTTGTTTCTCAGGTGCCCCTCATTTCTCAAGGGCGGCCCCAGATATTTCTCTTGTGGGTTATCTTGTGTGCTTTGGGGCCCCCAGAGCAGGACTTCTGCCTGCTCTGTAACCTCCCTGACGTTATTCTTAACCCTTGCTTCTCTCCTTGAGCCCTGCCTGTCATCCCTGCCCCACTCACTCATAGAGGTCATGGGGGTGAGCTCCTGGGGGTCCCCACTGCACCCCACTCCATCATTGACTTCCATTCTTAACCTGGTTAGAGTAGAACCTCTCAACTTCAGTGCTCTTAATATTTGGGGTTAGATAGGTCTTGGTTGTTGGGGGAGGAGCTATCCTGTGTATTGTGAGAAGTTGAGCCGCATGCCCGGTCTCTCCCCCCAACAACGTGCTGTAGCACCGCCTCTCTCCAAGTCATGACAATCAAAATGTCTCTGGACATTGCTAGCTGTCCCTAGTTGAGAACAACTGCATTGAGGGAGAAAACCTTTCCCTCGTCTGGGGCACTTCCCCACCTGGGTCTTCCTGCTCTCTTCTCTGTACTCGGATCTCCATCTGCCCCGGAGCCTTTCCCTTTCCAGCCTACAAACATTCAGTACTCCCTGAACCCCATTGCCCACCACCCATCTCCAGCCTTCCCCTGCCCAGCCTCCCCGGTGGGCCCTAACCACCCTCCTTCTCCCCTCACACCCACTGCACTTCCCACAGCATCTGGCTCGTGTTTCCATTGCTTTGCTTTGCCGATGGCTCTTGCGAAGGTAATCCTTCACCTCCTGGGTGCGTCTCCTGTCCCCTCACCCTAGCTGACCTCTCTGGGTCTGCTACTGTCTTCCCCCCCGGCCCCCCGCTCCGGGGAAGCAGGAACGCACAGTCTCTTGCAGAGTTTTCACCTGCACCTGGTTCCCTCTCCACCTTCTCTGCTCCCTTCCTGGGCTCAGATGTTAGCTCTCTCTTCATCGAGGGCCAATCCCTACTGCCATCCACTCTCAGCCCAGTTTTGAATTTACATAGTCAAACTCCTTCATCTAGAAGAGGCGCCAGCAAACTATAGCCCATAGGCCGACTCCTGCCTGCCCGCGCAGGTTTTATAAATAAAGTTTTATTGGCCTCCTCTATGGTTGCTTTTATGTCCTAAAGACAGAGTTGAATAGTTGGAATTGCATGGCGCACAAAAATATTTATACTTTGGCCCTTCACAGAGAGAGTTTGCGGACTCCTAATTTACAACAGAGCCCTTGAGGATCATGATGACCTGTCTGATTGCTTGTGTGGTCCCCGGTACAACACGAAGGCATCACGAATGTTCCGGGATGCTGCATTTTCCCCTTTACAGAGAAAGCTGTATTAAAGAAATTTATGCCCCCTGAATATATGGGTTCCAATGGTAGAAAAATACCATGATGTCCCCTCAGTAGCTGTGTGCATGGTCGCAAGATTTATTTATTTGAACAGTCATCGTGGTGTTGAATGAGGATTCCTCGCTGTCGGCTTTCTGTCTGGAACTCGAAAGTGGTGTCTGCTACGAGATTTTCTTTCAAGATCCCTTGTGTTAATTTTTATTTTTTTAAAGATTTTATTTATTTATTTGACAGAGACAGCGAGAGAGAGAACACAAGCAGGGGGAGTGGGAGAGGGAGAAGCAGGCTTCCCGCCCAGCAGGGAGCCCGACGTGGGGCTTGATCCCAGGACCCTGGGATCATGACCTGAGCTAGAGGCAGATGCTTAACAACTGAGCCACCCAGGCGCCCCCCCCTTGTGTTAATTTTTATTAAGAATACACACATTAGGGTGCCTGGGTGGCTCAGTTGGTTAGGCGACTGCCTTCGGCTCAGGTCATGATCCTGGAGTCCCGGGATCAAGTCCCACGTCGGGCTTCCTGCTCAGCAGGGAGTCTGCTTCTCCCTCTGACCCTCTTCCCTCTCGTGCTTTCTATCTCTCATTCTCGCTCTCTCTCAAATAAATAAATAAAATCTTTAAAAAAAGATCTTTAAAAGAATATACACATTAGGGGTGCCTGGGTGGCTCAGTCAGTTGAGTGGCAGACTCTTGATTTGGGCTCAGGTCATGATCTCAGGGTCGTGAGATCGAGCCCTGGTTGGGGCTCCCCGCTCAGCCCAGAGTCTTCTTGAGAGCCTTTCCTTCTCCTTCAGCCCCTTCCCCGCCACATGTGCGCACCTGCTTTCTGTCTCTAAAATAAATAAATCTTCTAAAAAAAAGAATACATACATTGGCTTATGTTTTACAACAGGACCCTATTTATGTTTTTTTTAATTAAAATAACAAGTAATGCACGCTCATTGCAAAAAATTTGCAAAACCCTGGAGAGGAAAAACAGAAGTCCCCTTGCTACACTCTATCCCTAAAATCATCCCATTTCTATCCTGGGAGGTGACTGTGCTATCAGTTTGCATCTTAATTGTATGTGGGTGCGTGCGCAGAGTTATATGAATTTTAACCCATCCATAGAGTTGTGTGACTGTCCCCATAACTGGGATGCGGAACAGTGCCATCACCCGAGTTCCCTCCAGGCATCCCTTGATGGTTATGCTCTCTCCATCCCCAACCCTAGCAACACTGATCTATTCTTCATTGTTTTCTCTGTAGACTTTAAAACTTATCTTATAATT